TATGTAATAAATTAAATGCGCCTTTAACGTATAAGGGTCAATAAATAATGGATGAACCCAGTACCTACGTCATTTCAATTTTTCCCGCCGACGAACAGAATAAAACAACACCTATACTACTTCTTCCACCTCTATTTTGATACTGAATGTCTGTGTCGCTGCTTGTCGTCTGTTAAAAATCGCATGCGGCAAGTCGCGCGCGACATGTCGCGTGGGTGGGTTTTCCCTCCAAGCCCGATTGAGTTAAAATTTGACATAGTTGATACTTTTTTCTCGGCGTAGACATCCACTAAGAACGAATTTTATAAACCCACATTTTAAGGGGTGGGGGAAACGGGAGGAGAAAGTTTTTATGCGAGTATCAAATTTTTTAAAGGTAGGAACTTAAAAATTGAATTTTAGTTACTCCTCATAAATAAATAATGACGTATTACAAAGTTTTTGGATTTTTACTTTTTAAACGGATGTAAAGTGGTGAAATAAAAATAAATAATAAATAAAAATAAATTAAAAAATCTGATGTGTCCAACACATGACTTTCCTATCTAGTTATTACAGGCTTTTTCCGGTTATTTTGTACAACCTATTGCAGCATCTCTATAAATGTTTAGAGGATAAACTAAATATATACATTGTCCACATACATCTACCGCGAAACATTTTTACTTTCCTATCTGTATACAGATATAAGGAAAGTATAGGAATCATGATTTTTTTCGACCTCGAGTTTTCGACGGATTTTTACGTTTTGAGGTCCCCTGAATCCATTTTGACTATTTTCGCGATGATGTGTGTGTGTGTGTGTGTGTGTGTGTGTGTGTGTGTGTGTGTGTGTGTGTGTGTGTGTGTGTGTGTGTGTGTGTGTGTGTGTGTGTGTGTGTGTGTGTGTGTGTGTGTGTGTGTGTGTGTGTGTGTGTGTGTGTGTGTGTGTGTGTGTGTGTGTGTGTGTGTGTGTGTGTGTGTGTGTGTGTGTGTGTGTGTGTGTGTGTGTGTGTGTGTGTGTGTGTGTGTGTGTGTGTGTGTGTGTGTGTGTGTGTGTGTGTGTGTGTGTGTGTGTGTGTGTGTGTGTGTGTGTGTGTGTGTGTGTGTGTGTGTGTGTGTGTGTGTGTGTGTGTGTGTGTGTGTGTGTGTGTGTGTGTGTGTGTGTGTGTGTGTGTGTGTGTGTGTGTGTGTGTGTGTGTGTGTGTGTGTGTGTGTGTGTGTGTGTGTGTGTGTGTGTGTGTGTGTGTGTGTGTGTGTGTGTGTGTGTGTGTGTGTGTGTGTGTGTGTGTGTGTGTGTGTGTGTGTGTGTGTGTGTGTGTGTGTGTGTGTGTGTGTGTGTGTGTGTGTGTGTGTGTGTGTGTGTGTGTGTGTGTGTGTGTGTGTGTGTGTGTGTGTGTGTGTGTGTGTGTGTGTGTGTGTGTGTGTGTGTGTGTGTGTGTGTGTGTGTGTGTGTGTGTGTGTGTGTGTGTGTGTGTGTGTGTGTGTGTGTGTGTGTGTGTGTGTGTGTGTGTGTGTGTGTGTGTGTGTGTGTGTGTGTGTGTGTGTGTGTGTGTGTGTGTGTGTGTGTGTGTGTGTGTGTGTGTGTGTGTGTGTGTGTGTGTGTGTGTGTGTGTGTGTGTGTGTGTGTGTGTGTGTGTGTGTGTGTGTGTGTGTGTGTGTGTGTGTGTGTGTGTGTGTGTGTGTGTGTGTGTGTGTGTGTGTGTGTGTGTGTGTGTGTGTGTGTGTGTGTGTGTGTGTGTGTGTGTGTGTGTGTGTGTGTGTGTGTGTGTGTGTGTGTGTGTGTGTGTGTGTGTGTGTGTGTGTGTGTGTGTGTCTGTATAACGCATAACTCATGAACCGATACACAGAAAAACACCAAATTTTAAACTTAAGCTTTGTTTTAGCGTCCAATGAGCTGATTAGATTTTGGGCAGAGTCGGAACATCTGGGGGGGTACTTTATAGGTGGTCATTTTTATATTTCATGGAAAATATCTGTTATTTACGTTTGGAGAAGAAAATTCTTCAAATAAAAGTTACTTCTAATATTATTATCTATAAGTTTTGCCTTATGTAAAAATTTCCTGAAATGGTCCGTATTCGAGAAATTTGACAAAATGTAAAAAAAATAATTTTTTATAAAAATTGTTCAAATAAAAGTTGTTTGTAATATAATTCTCTATAATTTTTATTCTATACATAATTTTTTTAAAATGGACCGTATTCGAGATATTTGAGAAAATGTGTAAATTTCGAATTTTGAAGAAAACTCAAAAACGGATAAAGAAAAAAACATTAAATTTTAAACTTAAGGTTTATTTCGGCCTGACGTGAAATTATTAGATTTTAGACATAGTCGGAACATCTGGGGGGTACTTTATGGGAGGACACTTTTATATTTTATGGAATATATCTGTTATTAATGTTTGGAGAAAAAAATTGTTCAAATAAAAGTTACTTCTAATATTATTATCTATAATTTTTGTTTTATGTAAAAATTTCTTGAAATGGTCCGTATTCGAGAAATTTGACAAAATGTGCAAAATTTTGATTTTTATGAAAGTTTTTGAAATAAAAGTTGTTTGCGATATCGATCTCTATAATTTTTGTTTATACATGATTTTTCTAAAATGGACCGTAATGAAAAAATTGTAGGAAATTTTAATTTTTCAGTATTTTCGTTTTCCATGAATATCTATAGAAAAATGTTTCGAGGTAGATGTATGTGGACAATGTATATATTTAGTTTATCCTCTAAACATTTATAGAGATGCTGCAATAGGTTGTACAAAATAACCGGAAAAAGCCTATAATAACTAGATAGGAAAGTCATGTGTTGGACACATCAGATTTTTCTATAGATATTCATTGAAAATGAAAATACTGAAAAATTTAAATTTAGCACTTTTGCTACAATTTTTCCATTACGGTCCATTTTAAAAAAAATCATGTATGAACAAATATTATAGAGATCGATATCGCAAACAACTTTTATTTCAACAATTTTCATAAAAATCAGAATTTTGCACATTTTGTCAAATTTTTCGAATACGGACCATTTCAGGAAATTTTTACATAAAGCAAAAATTATAGATAATAATATAAGAAGTAACTTTTATTTGAACAATTTTTTTCTCCAAACATAAATAACAGATATATTCCATAAAATATAAAAACCGCCTCCCATAAAGTACCCCCCCAGATGTTCCGACTTTGTCCAAAATCTAATAATTTTACGTCAGGCCGAAATAAACCTTAAGTTTAAAATTTAATGTTTTTTCCTTTATCCGTTTTTGAGTTTTCTTCAAATTTCGAAATTTACATATTTTCTCAAATATCTCGAATACGGTCCATTTTAGAGACATTATGTATAGAATAAAAATTATAGAGAATTATATTACAAACAACTTTTATTTGAACAATTTTTATAAAAAATTATTTTTTTTACATTTTGTCAAATTTCTCGAATACGGACCATTTTAGGACAATTTTATATAGAAATTATAGATAATAATATTGTAAGTAACTTTTATTTGAAGAATTTTCTTCTCCAAACGTAAATAACGAATATATTCCATAAAATATAAAAATGACCACCTATAAAGTACCCCCCCAGATGTTCCGACTCTGCCCAAAATCTAATCAGCTCATTGGACGCTGAAACAAAGCTTAAGTTTAAAATTTGGTGTTTTTATGTGTATCGGTTCATGAGTTATGCGTTATACAGACACACACACACACACAGACACACACACACACACAGACACACACACACACACACACAGACATCATCGCGAAAATAGTCAAAACGGATTCAGGGGACCTCAAAACGTAAAAATCCGTCAAAAACTCGAGGTCGAAAAAAATCATGATTCCTATACTTTCCTTATATCTGTATACAGATAGGAAAGTAAAAAATAACAATAAATAAAAATAAATTAAAAATATAAAAATAAATGGATATAAATAATACAGAAAAAAATAAAAATAAATAAAAATACATAAAATAATTAAAAATAAATATAAATAAATGAAAAAATGATTGTAAATGAAAATAAATGATTGATTATAAATGAAAATTAAAAAAATAATAAAAATGAAAATAAATGAAACTAAATGAAAAGAAATAAAAAGAAATGAAACTAAATGAAAAGAAATCAAACTAAATCAAAATAAATTCAAATAAATCAAAATAAATCAAAATATTGTGACGAAAGTCTAATTTATTTAAACGTACTATTTAATTTATGTAATATTTAGACACTAACTAACAATTCTAATTTATTTCTTACACTTTAACTTTTCAATACAATGTTCTACATTAAACTAAACTCGGCGCTGATACGTCGGCTATTTATATTAGTCCAAATCCGCTACCGGAAAATACGAGAGGCTCTCGAACATTCCTTTTTATGACTAAGCGGCACTCTACGCCATTCCAGCCGCTTTCAGTGCTTCAGCGGCAGACATTCCGTCGTATTCTTGTACATTCGAGACGCGGTCCAGCTGTTTCCACACGTCAGCGTTGCTTCGATCACGAATTGGTTGCCATGTGAAGGCCGCGTGCGTACACAAGCACAGGGTCGGATTATGGATATCATGACAATATATAATAAATATAATTAAAAACAAATAAGTGGAACTTCTTACGCCCTGGTATGAAAAATATGAGGTCGTGCTTTTTTTAGATTAAAAAACGGCTGATAGAGAATTAAAATACCTTTCAAATGCGGTATAATTGTTGGAGATATTATTTTTCTGTATCTCATAGAGTGCTGGGTAATAAGACACGTAGATTATTACAACTTTCTATTAGCAGAATTTAATTATAAAAACGTGACGAATATCTTAACAATCAAATCAACAACTAACTAACTTAGCATTATTACAAGTGACATAAGTGACACATGTCACAAGAACATAGATTAAAGAACGATAGTTATCAAAAACAGATGTGTTAATTGTGACAATCTTATTATTGATTATTTTTAATATTAATCAGCCCTACCATTCTATTAATTCAAAAATTTTTGGTTGCAGAAAAAGGCTAAAGCTAGAGATCTGTATGAACAGGTCTTTTATTCTTTAGACCTTATAGAAAAAGATTATTTTGGACTGCAATTCACTGACGCGAATCATGTTAAGCATTGGCTGGATCCAACGAAAACGATTAAAAAACAAATTAAAAGTAAGTCAAAACTAAAATATTTTATATTATTTATACCTATAATTATTGACATTTTTTAGTTGGTCCTCCATATACCCTACGACTCAAGGTAAAGTTCTACTCCTCGGAACCCAATAATTTACGGGAAGAATTGACGAGGTACCAGTTTTTCCTTCAATTGAAACAGGATATTCTTGAAGGAAGATTGGAATGTCCTTACGAAATTGCTGTCAAATTGTCTGCCTTAGCTTTACAGTGTAAGTAAAATAAAAATTTTAAGATTAGGTCTTTTATTAACAAGTGTTTTTTAAAAAATAATATTTTTGTACACTTGAGGAAATAAACCAGTTTTAATATTTACATGTATTTATTATTGTACTAGCTGAACTTGGTGATTATGACGACACGCAACATACCCCTGCCACCGTTTCGGAATTTAGATTCGTCCCCAATCAGACGGAAGATATGGAAATTGACGTATTGGAAGAGTACAAAAAATGTAAGGGGTTGACGCCTGCTAACGCCGAGCAAAGTTATTTGAATGAAGTGAAATGGTTGGAAATGTATGGAGTTGATATGCATACTGTCTTGGTATGTTTAAATATTCGATAATTTTTCTTCTAATTTAAGAGAAATCATTTTTTAGGGTAAAGACAGTATGGAATATAGGTTAGGTTTGACTCCTACGGGCATACTGGTATTCGAAGAACCAAACCAGAAAATCGGCCTGTTCTTTTGGCCCAAAATCGGCAAACTGAACTTCAAGAAAAAGAAACTGACATTAATTGTAGTAGAAGATGACGATCAAGGAAGAGAACAAGAACATACTTTCGTTTTTAGGTTGCACAATGAAAAAGCATGTAAACATTTATGGAAATGCGCCGTGGAACATCATGGGTTCTTCAGACTTCGCGCTCCCGTAAAAGGACCGTCAGCTAGACAGAATTTTTTCCGAATGGGCTCTAGATTCCGCTATTCTGGCCGGACAGAATATCAGAGCACTTATCAAAATAGAGCTAGGCGGACGGTTCAACTGGAAAGGAAGCCCAGTCAAAGGTAGTCTAAAAGTTTAATTAAAGTACATATTTAAAAATGAGGAGGCGCACTGGCATGTTTTTCTGGAATTAATTTGTCAATCTATAAATAATTTTTTTTCTGTAGATACGGAAAGAGACAAAGCCACGTGCTGCGAGAAAGAGAACGAGAAAAAGAGCGCGAACACGTGTCTTCTAACAGTAGCGATAAATCTACGACGACTCCTACAGAGCCCATTTACTACACGGTCAAAGATGACATTACTAAGAGCTTGACGCCGACACCATCGACTCCTACTCCGACAGGTAATCAAGCCTGTGGTCAGTTTCCTTCTTTTTTACTTAATATAGTTGTTATAATTCTGTTTGCCTCTTGGATTTTGTATTACTCCAAAAACAGTTTTTGATTTCTTTTACTATCTTTTTCCATTGATTCTCCAAACTCTTACCAAGACTTTTTTTACAGTTTTTATTAGTTCTTTGACTGTTATTCTTTATTCTTATTACTCAGGATTTTTTCCATTACGTTTTTTCAATTTTATTTCTTCATTCCACCACTTCGTTTGTTTTAAATATTTGTTTTACTAAATCCACAACATTTTTCTGTTACTGATATTATTGTATTTTTGACAGTTTTTTTTTTGTAGATTTTCTAGTTTCATATTGTTTTTATTTTATTAATTTCACTCTCAATTTTTTCATTGTATAATCTAGTTGTTATTTATTTAAATTTATGTTTCCGAATCGCTCTTAAAATGTTGTATACTATTTTAAAAAAGAGAAATCGTCAAAATATTTTATATTTATTATTGAGTGGAAGAGAGACATTCTTCAATTTTTTTATGGGGTTCTTATTATTCATTATTGTTAATTTAGGACCTGAATCTATAGGACTAATGAGCCATAGCAGTTTTGGTAAAGCGTCTGTCGGACAAAGCAGTTTCGGTAAGTCTTCAGTTGGCCAAAACAGTTTTGGAAAAGCTTCTGTCAGCTCATTCGGAAGGGTCTCCGCTAGTGGTGGTTCGGCCAACAGGTAAACTGTCATTGATTAAAAGTTACCCGACATTCAATAATTATAAATCGTTTTCAGTCCCGTACTTTCCGTTAGCAGTAAGAACGGTACTCTTCCTAGGAATAAACCAATCACACCGACAAGTCCGATACCTCCGGTGAGTCCAACTCCGTCGAATACCGACAGCCAATTGGACTTTTTGTTCAAAAGTTTGGCGAAAGAATCTCTTTCCGGTATTTCTCGAGGCGACAAAAGAAACGAAAATACAGAATCTGAAAGTAAGTTTTTTGTTCTTAATTGTATTTGAGGTAATAATATTTTAAAATGCTACAAAACTTCGAACCAATATTGACTATTATTAATAATAGTATCGTTACTTTTTGATTTTCCCTATTAGTATTTGATTCTATACCACTTTTCTATCCCCCACCACTTTTCTAACCTCCACTAATTTTCGATCCCACAACTTTTCAATTCCTCACTACTTTTTAATCCCCACAACTTTTCGATTCACCCACTACTTTTCGATCTTCCACATATTTCCTTTCGCCCTCAAATTTTGGATTTAACCTTTACTTTTTGATCCCCCATCTCTTTTTTTCTTCTCAGTACTTTTCTATCCCCCACAACTTTTCGATTCTCCCACTACTATTTAATCCCACACTATTTTTTTAATTTCCCACTATTTGATCCTCACATCATTTCATTATCTCTCAATTTATTGAGACCCCACAACTTTTTTCTCCCTCAACTTTTCAATTCTCACACAACTTTTCGGCATCCCAAACTTTTTGATCTCCCATTATTTTTTGATTTCTTACTATTCGATCCTCCACACCTTTTCTTTCTCCCTTAATTTTTCTATTTTCCACTACTTTAAACTCCCCTATAACTTATGTTTCCTCCATTTTTCAATTCCCCATTACTTTTAGATATCCTACAACTTTTCGATAGCCCACCACTTCTTACTTAACTATCTCCTTCCATGTTTATTTCCTCCCTCATCTAATTTACACCTCGCTACGTATCACCCTCCTTCCTATCTGATTAGCTGCCTTTTCTATTCAGAAAAACCTCTCCACTTTTGAGAGGAGGTGTAAATTATAAGTAAAAAGCAGTTTGAGCGATCAGACAGGTATTGAGGTTGAATTTGGTAAAGTGGCAAAATAAATTGGTGGGGGGAGTAAAAAAGTGACTGAACCCGCCAACCTATACTACTTTTGATTTTTTTTTTTCGATTTTAAAATCGTATTTGTCTTATAGCCGAAAACGATGGCATCTCCAAACCGCTTCCAAACGAAATTCCTAACAATATCACGAAAATCGTTGGAATGGCGAAGCCTTTACCGCCAGGGCAAATTAAATGTAACATTTTGAAGGGTTAGTAGCAATATCGCACCATTTGTACAAATTATGCACTGCTTATGAATGTTTTCCATGCTTTTTAGTTATACCCATAAAAAATCAATTAGGATTAAATCAGGTGAACGTGGCTGCCACTTGTTTATTATATATTATTTACCTTTTTATTTTGATAATATACAGTCTGTTCAACATGAAAGTTATACAATTTCATATTTTTATATTTGCTGATCTAAACATGCTTTTAAAATATCTCCGTATAAAAAGTCCATTGAAGTCAAATCAGGTAAATGTGTAGGCCACTTGTATACTTTGTAATATTTCTTTGAGATGTGTTTTTTCCAATATATTTATTTTTTTAATTTCACTTAGTATGAATATTATGTCGTTGTAAATGAGAATAGTGACACAACTATTTTTTTTTTATATTTTTGAACTTATTGTGAAAATATCTACAGCAAAATCTGAATATTTTTATCTGAAAGAACGACATACTGTTACTTCCAAAAATGGCCACTGGAAAGTGTCGTTCTTCACGTATTACAAATTCGCGGTTTAATGATGATGAAGAGTGACACAAATCTAGTTGAACTCCGACAGTCAATTAGACAAAAGTGACAATTTTCGGTTAGAGTGACACAAATTAAAATATGCCAGTTTTATTATAATTAAACTAAGGACATTATTTTTAACAGTGATACAAGTCAAATTATGACAATTTTTTGAAAATGTTATTACCAATATGATGTAAAATGCACTTTTCTGGAAGACCGTCATAATTCTAAAGGGGGATGAAAATATAAAGCAAACTTGTTACTGTTTGAATCAAACTTTAAAATGGATATTCTTGAAAGTCGGTTTTTAAATTGTGTCACTATTCTTGAGTACCAACGATATATTAATGGGCGAGTGTTTTGATGGATGTTATTTGAATTTGAAACGTCCTAAATAAAATGTCTTTCTCCATCTGTTTTAGATTTTTAGATATCTCGTATAAAAAGTCAATTGAAGTCAAATCAAGTGAACCTGCGACTTTATAATTTTTCTTTAACATGTGTTTTCCAAAAATATATATTTTTTTAATTTCATTTAGTGGGCATATGTGGTCGGTACACAAGAATAGTGTCACAACTCAAAAATTTCCATTTCGAGCGTATTGTTAATATATTTAACAAAATCCGCATATTTTTATTTGGAAAAACGACATATTTTTACTTCCAATGACCACTAGAAGGCAGTGGTCTTTCCGTATTACAAATTCGTGAATTTATGATGATAAAGAGTGACGCAAATTTAGTTATCTTCGACAGTTAATTAGACAAGATTGTCAATTTTCAGTTAGGATGGCATAAATCAAAATATGTCAGTTTTATTAAAAATAAACTAAGAACATTATTTTTAATAGTGACACAAATCAAAATAGAACATTGTTGAAAATGATATTTTTAATATGACGTAAAATATACTTTTCTGGAAGATCGTCATAATTCAAAAGAGAGTTGAAAATATAATATTTTTCTAATGTTATTTAACTTTGAATGAAATTCTAAAGTGGATACCTTTAAATAACTGTTTTTGAGCTGTGCCACTATTCTTCTGTACCAACGATTTGTTAATGAGTGAGTGTTATGATGTATGTTGTTTGTATTTGAAACGTCTTAAGTAGAATGTTTATTTCTCCCATCTCTTTTTTAGCTAAAGCGGAAGAGGAATTGCAAAATCAGAAGCTCACGAATCAAATGTTCGTGCAAGCTAAGGAGGAAGAAACATCTCTAAATGCGGCGACCTTTATTTCAGTGGTAAGTTTTTTTTTTAGCATTAAAGGGTTGATATTTTTTTGAGTTAATTTAGGTTCTTAAAAATATTTTAAATACAATTGAACAGTGTATCTAACATTATTGTGAAATTTTGTTTCTTAATTTATGTTCCCATGTTACTACAAATCTTTTCTTTTCCTTTTTTTTTTGTATTGTTTAAATTTTATGCAGGCGTGTATGGTCTACCTTAACGTTCGGAATACGTTCTAGATCGGCTCCGCGAACGAAGCTATTATGGCGAAACTGTCAACGAATCGTTAACTTAGATTCGCCTTTTGAGTAGGTATTCCTAGGTATAGAAAACAAAGAATTCGTAATGAGATTTGTAGTACCATGAAAACTCACCCACTCACTTTCACACGTTTCGCTTTTTTTATGGTTTGTCACACGTTTTTTGTGCTTAATTCATTAACACCTTTCCCCACCATCTAGGGCGGGGATAAATTGACTTTATCCGTAAGCGGTCCACCCAGTTTGCCGCCGATAATCACCAACTCCATACTCAAATCTCCGAAAATACTCGAGAAAGAACCGACGTCTCTGGACGAAAATAGAAACAAGAGCGGTAGCGAAGATAAGGATCCCAAACGATGTCCCACGCCCGTAACTGTCACGTTCTTCGGACAAAACGATGGTAAATTAGAGATCTGTAAAGTAGAAGATGAAAATAAGATCAGTTTGAACCCGTTTGCGGATTATTTGAACGAGAGTAATGGGAATCAGTTTAATTCTTTGAGCGTTTTCCATCCTAATAACCCATTTTGTAATTCTGAAACTGACAGTAAGGATGACACGCCCGAGAGTGATTCTAAGGAGTCCGATGAAGAGGTAAGTTTGCTGCATGCTTGTTTGTGTTCATTTAATTTGTGTTTTTTTTTTTTGCTATGTTTGTGTTTTTATTACATCGTTTATGTATACCTGGGTAGCTATTTGTCAACATGTTCGAAATTTTTATTTTATTTTTTTCAAAATATCTCTTTCCTATCGTTGTTTTTAATAATTCTTCACGTTATTTAAAATAACTAATACTATAAAAAAATTTTTGTTGTTGTAACACTTCTGGATCACCCTGTAATGAGACGATAATATTATATAGCTTCATATTGTAAAAGTTCTTTCTAGAACCTGAATTTATATCCCTTCAAACAATGATGATTAATAAAAAAAAACAAATTTAAAAAGGGGGAGTGGGGTGGGTGGCTCAGTGGTTGAGTCTCTGCCTGTGGATCCAAGGGTTCCAGGTTCGAATCCCACCGTTGGCCGGGATTTTTTCATTTAATTTAATTATTTAAAATTAATTCTGATGCCTTGGTAGGATTCCCCACTCGACCATTCACTGTTCCTAAAGTGGGGCTGGGAAACTAACAAAGCCCACTTTTGTATTTTTTTTTTTATATTTATGTAAAATTTATAATTTCCCCCGCTTCCTTTGTCAACAAAAAATAAGAAAAACTTGAACCTCCCTGCTATATAAATCAAAAAATTTAAAAATTTTAATAAAAATATGTTATACTATTTTATTTAAAAAATTAAAAAATACTAAATTCGAAAATTTTATTAAAAAATAAAGAATCAAATATTCAATAAATTTTTTACCATTCAAATTTAATTGAAACCATCTAATCCCAATTAAATTTGAATGACAAATGTATAATCAACAACCTGACTAAAAAATTTATTCAAAATTAATTAATTCTAAAAAATATATCGACTTTGTAATTGTAAACTGTTGATAACACAAAGTTGGTTAAATAAAAACAAGTTGTATATTTCGAATCCCAAAATGAGGACGTTTTGACAATCAAAATATCAGGGCCGGTTATATTCATATAAAGAGGTTGATAGTGGTCCTGCATTTATGAAACGTCAGATAAAAAAAATAATGCGCCATTATATGCGCAATTGGATATAAAACAAACACCTAGAATGAGTTTCCGTCTATTTTTAAAAATAAGCGTTCTGTATTAGAATAAATAAATGCAACTAATTTATTTTTTATAGAATAACTCTGAAACCGGCTCTGATATTTTAATTTAAAAACGTCCCCTGTTTGGGATTCGAAATATACAACCTTTTTCCCTATTTAACCAAATTTGCGTTATCAACGGTTTACGAGAGAGCAATACATTTCAATTAAAAAGTAACCATCCTGTATATTTATGTAATATTTTAAATTGTATTTTAGAACAGAACCAGTCTGGACGAACCGCTGTCCAAACGTTCGACTCCGCTCAGCCCGACGCTCAGCAAAGTGTCCCCTTGGCTGGTATCGTCGGACGTTGTCTCATCGCCCGTTTCCAAGGTTGACACGACCGAAACAACGATTATAAGGAAATCTGTGATCACGACGCAGCTATGATTCATAGTACATATCGATATTTAATTTTATTTTTTACGTTTTTTAAAACACCCTCCCCGCATATTATTATCTCTTATCATCCGTATTGATAGTGAATAGACTGTCATACGCTTTGTTGCGGTCGATAAATGCTGGAAGTTTATCTCATAGGATTTTCTAAAACTTACTCCTGTCACAGTTTCTGATGTTCTTGAGTCAAAAATGTTGCTTCCGACATATACCTATTCTTTCATCGATTTCACCAACCAGTATACTTTTAGTAGACGTTTATCACCTCTAAGCATACGAAGTATGGTCGAAAAGTAAGCTAGACCGTGTCAGAAGCGTTTCTGTTACTCCTCGTTGTAGTGTTGGAAGGTTTCATGCTGAATATCTGTTTAAATATTGTTTCCATTGAAACTTGGGTTAAAGAAAAAGTTGTAAGATGGTGGATCAGAAGAGTATAACAGATGAAGTACAGCAGTTTTTGTGTTACCGTGAGTACTACTGAGTACTGTACAAAAATTTAACTAGTTGCTAGGCATTCTATTAATTGTCTGTTATATATCGTAGATATTTCTTGAAGAGAAGAGTTTGGGTCCACCTTAAACAGCCTCGTATTCTTACATCACACTCCACTTTACATTATTTTATTAAACCTTTCCTTGATTATGTTTGGAAGTTCTTTTTACTCTTCTTAACGTTCCCATTCTGCTCCATATAGCAATATTGGCCATATGTTGTAGCATTTGATCACTAGTAAACGTACTTTTATTGGAAAACATACACATACTCGCAATAATCAGAATTCCTTCTTTGGAATAAGAAAGAATATTCTGATTGATAGTTTTGTTCTCTAAATAGTTGAAGTACTATCCTAGGCTCCAAACGAACATTCTTAAATGTATTTTCCGCTCCACTTGGGGATTCAGGCTTCAGCTTCGATAATTAGGCCTGAGTCCTGTCTCCTCTCCTCTGAAGTTCTAGCACGGCGGTATTTTGATGCCCTACTTCTTTCCATTCATTTAACTTCATAGTCTATTAATGTTGTTCTACAAACTTTCTTACTAGTCGTTCAACATATTTTATCTTTTCTGTGGTATCCATATTCTTCACATTCTGAAAGGAAATTTATGTCCAGCATTTTCTCTTCTTCCTTCCTGGCATGTTTGAATCTTGACACATGGTAGCTGCCAATGCGAGTAGCCCTTTATTTGTTGCTTTCTGCAGTTTAATCCATATATTGATGTGCATATATTAGTTTTCCAGTTCTCTATTGGCCTTCAGTATAATGCTGAATCCGAATAACTAAGGAGTAAATGTTATTAAACAAATTACTACTTGGTCTTTTACCCAATCAGGAAAAACATTTCTTCCTTTTTTGTCCAATTTATTATATTATCTTATATTCTTCATAGTTTTTCCTCACACTGCATTATATTATACTTCGGTATTATTTTATGCTTCTCATATTCTTTACAGTTTTGCCCCATATTATTATACTATGCGTTTTATATTCTTCGTAGTTTTTTATGCTACTCATATTCTTTATAGTTTTTCTCCACATAGTTTTGAATTGTTTATAAATATTCTTCACAGTTTTTTCATACACGACGTTCTATTATATTTCTCATATACTTCATAGTTTCCCCCAAATATATTATGATTTTTATATGATTCATAGTTTTCCCACATCCCATTATACAATGTGTCTCATAAAGTTGGAGCCATATGGGAATTTTAATTATTAATACGATTGGAAAAAACCGTTGTAGGGTAATCACCTTTACTTATTTAAAAACTTAAAACAGCTTGCGTCAAAGTTGGCTACTGCCATTGGTTTTCTGTCAAATTTGGTTTTTCAAAAAAATGGCGTATTTTACAGATGACCAATGTAGTACTTAGCCAACATTAATGAGGGCTATTTTAAGTTTTTTTAAAAAAGCAGAGATAATTGTACTATGACATTTTTTCCAATTGTAATAATTAAATATTGATCCAACTTTACGGAACACACTGTATTATGCTTCTCATATTTTTGATAGTTATTCCTCACACAGCACTATACTATGTTTCTCATATTCTTCATAATTTTTTTCTAATATAATATTATGCTTGTTATATTCTTCATGTTTCCCTACTTAAATTCTTTATAGTTTTTTCCCACACATCATTATATTGTCCTTATATTTTTCATAGTTTTTTCCCCACACAGCATTATATTATACTTATATTCTTCATAGTTTTCCCCTACACAGCATTATATCATAATGGTCAAATTATACTATAAAAACGAAATATTGATGTACGAAATAATTTGTGCCACCATTTTTTAATTATCTAAACTCTTTCCGAACTTAAACGGCTGACTTTATATTGAATCTTCATTCCTTTATACATTATCCAGAATGTTGAACTATCTTTGATTAATTTGGAATAAAATTCCCAGTTACTTGATGTTACTGTATACATATCATGTTCATTTATGTTGCCCTATGTAAAATTTGTATTAATTTTATAATAATATGCGGGGTTTTGTGTTTTATAAAACGATGAAAAAACTCTTGGACTCCTCTAAATTACTTAATTACTTGATAGTCAGTATTGGCAGCTTTTGTAGTTATTTCAAGAGTTTTTTTAGTGATCCGATGATAAGGTACTTAAGGTATTATCCAGACGGCCATAAATAATAGTTGGTCTCCCAATTTTGATTCCTAAATCATAGAAAGCATTATTTTAAACTTGCGATTGTATCAGATTGGGTAAAACTAAATTTTTTGAGGTTATTTCCTTATTGCGACTTTATGTTTCTACTAGATCTTTCATTCCATTTAAAAATTGTTTTAAATAGCTGTTTTTTCGCAGTCTGATACAAACCACATTTTTACAGTGAGATATGCTGTAGTATTTCATTATTTTTAGATGCTTTTATTTTAATTTGTTAAGGTTTTTATTTTCTTTGGATAAATTTTATTTATTGTGATTAGAAGAATTATTCGATTTTATGTCTGTATTCTCATTTTATTATTCAGTCCTTTTTTTTTTTTTTCTTTTAGACAGTTATTAATGAATTATTATGTATTAGCGATGCCTTTTTACAGCAATAGCGATATTGTAGATATTTGCCATTTTATACCTATAAATGTCGAGATATTTGTCGGGTACAGGTACAAATTATTATTGTTATAGAAAAAAGAACCAGTATTTTTGTACTTAAATTTTTAAAAAGTTTTCTTTGACGATGGTACTTAATAATTTTAAAGTTTGAGAATATAATGAAAAGATGGGCCGCCAAATTTGTAGAGTTCTGATCGTGAATAAAAAAAAAAAACAGTTACAACGGTGTATAGGTAAATTGTATCAAAAATAAGCTGCACAGGAACTTATGCGATTCTCATATTCTTCATAGTTTTTCCCTACAGCACTATATTGTAATGCAATGTTAGAGGTCGAGTTGTTACCTACTATAAAAACGAGATATTGATCTATCTCTTTCCCAACTTAAATGGCTGTGGTTATATTGAATCTTCATGTTACCCTTCTTTCTAATTTATAAATCCCAAATAATTGACTGTCTTATTTATTGATTGTTCCTATTTTCTCTACGAGCACCATGTGTGGTGACTGCATTCATTTGAAGGGTTACACCATTTCATATGGAATTTTTTAATTTTTTTTTTTTGGTTTCCTATTTTTGTCTCTATTGAATACCCAAATAGTTGAGTTTTTCTGTGTATTTTATTGTTCTAATTTTCTCCATACCTTTTTTTTTGTAAAAAAAAAAGACTGGGAATAATGGTACATACTAAACGTGAGGTGAAGATAAAGAGACGAGTAAAGACCGTTTGAAATTCATCGTACGGAAACACTAATTTTTTCTTCCAAGAAACAATTGATAATTTACTATAATATACTATTTGTGTTCAAATTAACTACCACTTAAGTGTTAATTTTATTATTAAGTGATATCGAAATAAGTATCTTGAAACGGTCTTTACATCAGGGTCTAAAATGAAATTCAATAACATCGGATGAATACTTTCAGTTTTACAATAAAATCAATAAATTAAGGGTAGGAAAGAAAAAATCCTTTATATTTCAAAATTGTGAGATATAAATGACTTTTTCTTTCCTACCCTTCATTTAATAAACCAACTCACACACATGGCTACTCCAAGTTTGAATAAAATCAATAACTTACTTTAATTTATCAATCGGTCCGCATATTTTCGGCTGTGTCCTTTAAACCTTCTGTTTGGGAGTTAATTTTCTCCATACTTTCTTGGGATGCGTTCTCCATACTTTCGTCGCCCTCTTTTGGCATTACTTCCTGCGGATGAGTGTGTTTTCATCATCGGACTTGTGTGTTTTCTCCATGCTTTTTGGGTCGTTATCATGTTTTTTTTGCCACGTTACTTTTCTTCAAACTTTTTTTGATATTTTTTTCCGAGGGGCCAACAATATTGGGATTTTTGATGTTCGCTTGGTTGGTAGTTAGTAGTCGGTTGACTATATCCTAGAAGAGTTCTAGGTAAACTGGGCCTCTCTCTATCTAACATCTTTATTTACAATTAAAAAATTTGTATCTATATATTCACACAATAATTAAAGCAAATCCACACTTGGCATGTAGCTTCGTGCGGATCCGGGGACTATGGCAGACATATCTGCCTGTTAGAACTATTGTGGGTTTAAGTGTTGAGTTGTTAACTGTTCTTACCGTTTCGGTATAATTAGGGAAATTTAATTGTTTTAAATCGATAATTGAGAAGAATTTCTAATTTTGTCATGTCTAAAGCCTTGGTTTCTTTGAACACTCCGTCGCGGTGAGCGGGCAGTCCGTGGACCGTCGCGTTTAGACTATTTTATCTAACCAGAGTATTTAAATGGGAACGGTTTTCTTGAATCCGCTTAGCTGAGCAGGACGGCGTCATGCCGCTGATTTGTCGCGACTAGTCGGTTCATATCTGTTGAGTTTGATATCAGCGGAATCGTCGCCGTGTGTGGAAACAGTTTGTGAGTACAAATCATTATATTGTTATTATTTTTAAAACAATGAGTGACAAATTCACACATATGACTTTATTTGTAGGTTTCTTGGAAATGTCCTTTAAAAAACTCAACGCGAATTCAAAAAGATCTGTAGGAAGTCTAAAATACTTCCTAAATTTCCAATTTCCAAAAAGCCTCCGCTGCACAGTGATATTAAAGGCACCTTCTGTATCGCGACACAAAAACAACTTATCCACTGGCCTATTGGAATTTTTGACGGTTGCAATTGCCAGTTCCTCTCTTATTCTTCGTCTTCCAACAATAATGACAACGCAAACAATTTATTTGCGTTCATTTTGGTACATTTCGTTTACACTCATAATACATAAACAGAACATTCAGACATAGAGAAGGTCTCATTTTCTATATTTAACAAACCACCTCGGGCGAAAATCGCTGTCCTCTGCGATCGACGGACTGTCCGCTCACCGCGACAGAGTGTTCAGAGAAACCAAAGCTTTAGTTGTGGTTATTGTCCCCTGGAAAAAGTTAGTAAAAAACAGGGTTGTCCTTGTGTGTACGTTGGTCTTTGTACAGTCTATGGTTGTTGTCTCAATCCACTGGCTGGGTAAACGATGGAACTTCCGCCCGGGCACATATCGTAAGTGAATATGCCCACTTACAAAAATCTATTTACAATATATACATTTTTTACATTCTAATACAATTCAAATATTTTATTTACAAAGGGGTTACTTCTCAATGGCATCGTGAAGTGTTCATTTTTTATGACCCCCGATGGAGCCATGACCGATGTCGTGGCCGTATATTTCAATTGTTCACAGTTTAAATTTTGATTTAAAGTGGCATACTTTCCTGTTCTTCTTTATATTACTTTTTTTTTTCAAGGTCAGAACTATTTATATATACGATAAAAATGTGGCGTCGATAGAACTAAATTTCATATTTGTGATGGCAGGCAAAAATCTCATGATATATTTCATGTTCGTTCAAAATAACTTTGTAATTATAATGCTTTAAAAAATAATAATTATTTGTAAAGAAGAGAGTGCCATTCCATGATAATTTTCGCGTTTCTCTTTACAGATTAAAAGACCTGCACATTCTAAACATTTGTATCCGTCCTCTTATTTTATCTTCTAAATAAAGTATTTATATATGTTTTTAATTTTAGTCTTTACTTTTTTCTTACCTTACTATGAAAATTAGAAATTATTAGTCAGCGATAATGTATAAAACCTTTTACTGGGTCGTCGTATTATCTAATTTTTCATGATATATAATTTCAGAGCAACTAAATAAGAATATTTTAAAAATCGTTACTCCAGGCGGGAATCGAACCAACGGGATTTGTCTTGCCGAATCAATGTCTTGATCATAAGGGGGGTTTAATCAGGAGGGTCGGTTCGAACGAAATGGAACTCTTGCTAACCAGTAATTATTATTTACTGAAAATTTTTGTAACTTTTTGTTTTCAATGCCCTTAAATTCCAGTTAGATATTTTTCGGAATTAAAATGTAAAACAGTTCATTTATTTTTACTAAGGCATTAATTTATAGCTCAAATACTTGTATACTAATTTACTTTGACAATATTTAATCTGGTATCTTACGAAAGACAACTAAGCTACTCCAACAGCAGGTCTATTTATACTCATATGGCTTCTAAAATATTTTAGATGTTTTTCGACCAACAATTGCGCAGTCGCCAGAACATACATCGACAGAACTACCATTTTCTAGAATAGAGCATCGACCAAAAACGATATCTCTAGCAGCTTCGTTAGGATTACAGAACATTAGATGGGATGATTCACTTCGACAGGCAGTGTCCCTAGTCGTAACATGGGGAGTTCAGAGGTTGGCCTGTTTCATCCAATATTCTTGGTAATAGGAGAAATGTTGGCTGTAAAAGGACCAAATAAGGTAGAAAATGAATTAAAAGATTAAAGCATGACCAGACTGGTTGAAAATAGCTCACCTGATAATATTTGAAGTCAAGCTCCGCATTGTTTTTAATTCTTTATTTCTTGTTTTAATACTGACCCACCCTATATAATGCAACGTTTA